TAATCACATGAGCCAAGATCAGAGTCTGTGACCTCAGACATTAATGTTGCTCATTTAGTCCGATCACGACAGTTTTCTGACTGCTGTTTGCATCTCTTATATTTGGTGGCACGGGTCTCTTTCTGCGACCTCACTGCCTTTTCTATGCACATCGAGGTGGGTTGCAAAGAGGCTTGCAGCTAGAGCGTACCTGTAGGGAGGCTAAAGCCTCGAATGTAACCTGTTGTGGAAACTGGAGAACCAACGGCTGACTAGTTATTCCTGTTAAATCCTTTGAAGTCTGCTGCCTGAGATGAAGTTGGTGCCTCATAATGGACGTTTTCTGAAAACGTGAAGCCAGGCTGTATATTAATATTAAGCTTTTAAAATATTTGCATTGTTTTTAATCAATATTGATGTTTTATAGACCACGTGACATTGTCCATGATTTTGGACAATCACGGTAACAATGTATGCTGAAGAGACTGAATGAACAGAAGTGATGGACGTGTCTACAGACACTTTCCTGCTACTCTCCGAGTTGTAGTGAAACTGTGAAAAATGCAACACAAACAGGAAATGGGGACATGTTGGTTTTTACTTTGAAATGTCTTTATTTCCATTTTTAACTATTAGTTTTTGGACTTTTCTACTCAAATCTGAGGACACACAAGATGTTTTTGTTCTTCCGTGACCTACGTCCCCCAGGATTGAGCCACTGCCCTTCTGATTGGTAGATGACCTGCTCTACCTCCTGACCCGCGAGCTACCTCCATTTTACTCTTGTCCACTTCACGGGTTTAAGGCTGCTGACCAGCAGCAACAAGCTGACTGTGTGTGCTCAGCATGAACGTTCATAAAAAGCACCAAACGCTGGTTTAGATGTGGTTCACTGACTATCTGCACGTACACGGTGCTAAATAGGAGAATGTGAGCAGGAGGAGCCCGAGCACAGCCAGACAGTGTGTTTTTCCCATTGACACAGTGAGAGTATATATATTCCCTCTTTCTGCCTCACTTGACTCTTCCTCCACTTTGCATCCATCTCTCGGCATCCATCAGCGAGAGTTAGCCAGTCATTCAGTCTGTCACACATCAGCTGCTTAGAGCTGCCGTCAAAACTCTGGGTTAAATGCAGCTCGCAGTGTGTCAGCGGCTCTGTCTGCACACACACACACACACACACACACACACACACACACTAATATGAGGACAACAAATTCAAGCGAACCCTTTACATCCACTGGGTGTCAGGGATGATTAACAGGAAACAGGCTCTGGGTCTTCACAGTGCTTCACTTTAAACGTCTGACATCCTGTCAGCAGCTGGATCACTTTAAATAACTTTATTAACTTCAGTTTAAAAAGTGATTTTTTTTAAACAAGTGAATGCATCACAGTTCAAACGAACTCCAGTTTACATTTCCCTGCACGAATCATTCATATTCATAGTGTGCATACTGAGACGGCAACGTTCACATGGCCAGACGGACGTTTCTGGACCGTCACTAACACGTCAGCTTTTTGGAGCCATGAATGACCTGATATCTGCCAATCAGTATTCAGCAACATCCAAATGAAATCCTTGAATTTCACTCCCTGAAACTGGAGCTCAGACTTCTGAGATTGTCTCTTAGTACCGTTAACTCCACAGCAGCCATATTATTGATCAGATAATTGGATTAAAAATGCTCCAGAAGGTCCAGAGGTCCAGCTCAGGGACTACAGTAACTGAGGGAGGCTAGCAGCTACTGCTGCCTGTGTCTGCTCTGAAGTTCAGGGTTTTAACGCAGGAGACCCTGGGCACTGACTCACCGCTGGAGCCTCGAGTGGACGTTAGAGGAACTGCAGTTTTTGGCACTAGTGCCTTGGCTCAGTTTTGCAGCTCTAGAGGTTGCTCCTTGGCCGGTGACTGAGAGGTCGAGCAAACTACAGTATAAACCTGCAGATGGCACTTCGCTCTCCCAATAGCTCCAACTCATTTTTGTGCTCGTCAGTGCTTCTGAAAAAGGCTGATGTGTAGCTGCTATCAGCCTGCTGTGATCTGTTTATCAAGAGAAGATCTTTAATATCTGCTTGTGAATACAAAGATGTGCCAAAGGAGCAGCAGGTTCATTCAAAGCAGTAATTATTAGTGAGGAGGGTTAAAGATGAGATGTTTCTGCACCTGGATAATAGTCTGTGATGAGGGCCGGCATTAGTAAAGAAATAACAGTATTTTTATCCATGCCTCATTACCTAACAGGAGACTTGATTTCTCCTGAGGAATTCACACAGTCGTGTTCAGTCACACTGACCTCTCTGTGGCTTCAGCTCAAGAAAAGAAAAACAGGAGCATGAGGTCATTTCTTTCCCGGAAACTCTCCATCTCCATTCTGACAAGATAATCAACACCTCCGCAGGTGCCGTCACCTTCCCGGTTTAAATGAAGTCGCAGTTTCGAGGCCTTTCAGAGCCTCCATTCATGCCTTTGTGTGCCGTTAGCGTGGACAGACTCGTGCAGAGAAACGCATCAGACGTGCAGCCCCGCTCGTGTGCGCTGACGACTGGCCGGAGAGAATAAGATGCACAAAAGCACACAGCAGAGAGGAGCTTAAGACCCGGCGCATGCAAGTGTGTGATATGTTTGTGAGTCACTGAGCAGGGCCAAGCAGAGCAGCTTAATAACATCCTATAGCTCACAGTTAGCGATTTAACAACAGCAGTCTCCCCCCTCTCTCCTTCAGTAAACCTCTCCAAATTACAGGGGCAGCAGGGAATCGCCCAAAAATAGCCCTCGCCCTGTCCTCGTCCTCCCCTGCGCTTCGGCTTCAAGCTGATTTTACCCACCAGCTCTTACATAAAGCTGCTCGCTGGGGAACACGGCATCCTGTGAAAAACACACATTTCCAGAGCAACCAACCTTGGAGACGGAGCAAAAAACAAACCTCGTCTCCCCAGTCGCCCCTGCGCTCATCCTTCCCGTCACGTCATTTTTATTTACATTGAAGATCAAATATGAGCAATATTTTAAGTACTTAGTTCGTGAGTTAGGTGTTATCAGTGGTTCGGGCACCGTACCAGACAGGAGGCTTTCCACTCCCCAATCGTTCGACGTCTTCATTTAGTCCAGAGTTTTGGCATGAAAGAAGGAAATCCCAGGATCATCTCATTCCTGAAAATAACAGCAGGTCTTTAGCCACCAGTATACTCACCGTGCTGGTCACCTCATCACTGCCACATTCATTAAGGTTCGGCATTATGGCGCAGGTAGTATTCGCCTGAACGACAGGCGTCGTCAACACTTTCACATCAGTGCAGATATAAGAGGAGGAGACGTCAAAGCCACATGCAAAGAAATTGCTTTGTTTCAAGTTGAGGCGTGCGTGACCGCCAGGACCACGGCTTGCATCCACTTTGTTGTTCACTGCTTTTACCAGGAGCTGCATGAGCTGCTTGGCGGGTAAAATGGGAGACTCGAGGTGTTCAGTCCTTGGTGCGATTGGCTCGTGCAGAAGTAATCACACTCAGCCCAAAACACCCTGACTGACTCTATTGGAGGAGGTTGTGACGAACTCCTGAGGGGTTCATTCATGGCGTGAACGTGATCCGACCCAACTACCAGGTGTTTGCTGCAAGTCTGAGCTAAACGCCTTCCTGTTGCCAGGAGTCAGTACGGGCTGTCGGCAAGCTGAAGCATTCATGTAAATTCTCCATGTTATCCATAATGCCAGAATTCTTGGATTTATTTTTGGCATGGACGACATGACCAAAAAGCCTCGCAGGATGAAGGCCAAGTAATGACAAACATGAAAATAACACAAACCAAACAGAAAACATAAGGTGTATTATCCAGTGTGAAAAGCCGTCTCCGAATGTGACGAGGAGGTTTATGTAATAGACACGGGCGTCTCCGTCACCTTCAGACGAGCAGATGGTCTCGAGTTTCTGGTGTGAAGAGCTAGACTTTAATCTAGACGAAGCTAAGCAGCTGGTTTTTAGGTCCAAGTCTACAAGTGCTGAAAGCTACAAAGAACAAAATGCAGTGATTTTAGTTCTTACTAAGTGAGTCATCACATCACTGAAGGCTGTCACAGAGCGTGCGAGTGTAGAAGTGTGAGCCTGGCTCCACTCGAGGTTGTTAAAAGGGGTTTTTTCCTTCCCACTGTCGCCAAGTGCTTGTTCATAACCATAGTCTGATGGTTGGGGTTTTCTCTGCATTATTGTCTTTACCTCACAGTGTAAAGCACCATAGGCCAACTATCCGGTCGTTAAGTGATGACGTGACGAATCCTACTTCCGGG